TGCTACCTCCTGAAATGGCTGAATGTCAACCGATTCTTTTTGGTACAGCAACAATGAAACCTAAATGGGTATTTCATAACGTTAAGGAAGTACTATTTTTTCTTAGGAGGAGTAATCGTATTACGAGGTGCCCTGGCGGTGCAGTGGTTAAACTCAGGCTCAGAACAGTGGTAATGCCTAAAATACCTGCCTGCTAACCAAAAGGTCTGTGGTTCAAACCCATCAGCCTCTCCATAGAAGAAAGATGTGGCCATCTGCTTCCATAAAGATTACATACATCTTTGGAGACCCTATGGGGCAGTTCTATAGGGTCATTATGAATCAGAATTGACTGGATGGCAACGTGTTTTGTTTTTTTGTTTTTGTTTTTTGTATTGTGGTCATTAAAAAAAAAGTCACAATCTTTTCCAGATACCAAAATGTTTACAGTTGAAAAGATATGCTGTCTGGGATTTAGTTGAAAATAATTTGGGAGTGGGGGGATGAGTGGAGCTATTATTAAAAGACTGATGGATAATTGTTATATCAGCAAGAGTTGATCATCGTTGAAGTTAGATGATTAGTATTTATGGGTTCAGTATACAATTCTTTCTAATTTGTATAAGCTTCATTCATACTGTTCATAATAAACAGCCTTAAAAAGGACAAGGACATTCTGGAGGATAGAGTGGGGCCGCACTTACACCTAAATTCTCAGCATCCATTTGAGCAGATAAATAGCAATGCTTATAGGCTGAATCCAAGGTAAAAGCTGAGAGTTCAGGCTCAGAACTATGGTAATGCCTGAAATACCTACCTGGCTCTGGTATGAGGGCCCAGGAGCCATCGCACAGTAGGCCTTCAGGAAGGGTTTCTGGAATAAGTAAATGAACACCAAAGTAGCACTTACACATGCCCCTCATGGTCTGAAATACACTGAGTTACTTAGTCACATCCAATAACCTCAAATTTGACAGGTGGCTGCAAGGAGCCCTTGGGGTACAATGATTAAGTGCTCGGCTGTGAAGAAAGGTCAGGGTTTGAGCCCACAAACAGCTCCACAGGAGAAAGACCTGGCCATCCCCTCTTATAAAGATTATAGCAGAGAAAACCCTACGGGGCAGTTCTACTCTGTCACATGGGGTCACTATGAATGGAAATAGACTCAATGGTACCCAACAACAACTATGTTGTTCTGTCCCATTACTATCTCTGTCCCTATACCCAGCATTAACGGACTTCTTCCCCTGCACTCAGTCTTACTTTTACACCAAGGCTCTGGCTTCTCAGGAGATCTGTACTCTCATCCCCTATGCCCCACCACCTGGGCTCTTCTGGCTCCTCTAACTGGTTCAAGTATTTCTGCCTTTGCGTGCTGGTCCTGCTGCCTGACACCTCCTTCTCCCAGTTCTTTGCACGGTTAGTTCCTCCTCATTCTTCACTTTTCTGCTCAAATATCACTTCCTCAGCAGGGCCTTAACCAACCATGCTCTCCCAAGAAGGTTCCCATGTGACTCTCTATCACTTCTCCACTGTCCCTTTCACAATTATCACCCTTAACATGTAATTATATACTTTTGTTCACTTAATATCAATAACAGCATATTGACTTGTACTCACCACATGCCAAACTCACAGATTGACGTACTATCTCATTTAACTCTCGTAATTACTCTTTGAGGTTGGTGCTATTATTATTACCATTTTACAGAAGATGAAACTAAGCACAGAGAGGTTATATACCTTGCCTATGGCCAAAGACCAGTGAAGAACAGGACCGACCTTTGTAACCGCTACACTACACTGATCTCTTAACATCTTCCCCTCTGACTCTGCTGAGTTCCACCCCCAGAGTATGAGAGTCAAGAAAACATTGTGGGGATTCTAATCAACATCACAAAACAAAACAATATTAACTGCTGGATGGAAAATCAACTTACTCTGTAAACTCTCACCTACACCACAATCAAAAGTTAATAATAATAATAAAAGAACATTATTCAACAAAGTATTCCTGGCTCCCATTACAATGTGTGGCATAAAACTGGTGCTCTGCTCCTTGGAGAGAACAATCATGGGAGAAAGAAGGGCTGTTTATGCACAAGGGAGACAGTTCATGGGGCAGGAGTGCATGGAGGGATGGACACAGGGAAGGGGTAACTGTCGGGAGGAAGTGGGAGGGAAGCTGTTGCATTGTGGTAAATTGTGGTCAATGTCATGAGACAAAGTGTATGTGAACTGCTATATGGAAAGTGAATTTGCTCTGTAAATTTTCACTCAAATCACAATTAAAACAAAACTGGTGCTCTGTAAGTTATGTTGAAAGAATAAAAACATTGAAAATATTACTGTATAATTTCTTTGTACATCTCCAACCCCCTCTTCTCCACAAGTCCCTACCACATTGTCCAGCTCCCAGAAGGTACTCAATGCATCCAGAAACACTGACAGCTGGAAAAAGCTTTTGCAACCACCTGGCGATCCCCAGTTCACCAAAAGGGAAGAACCTCTCTAGATTCTTTCCCTGAAAGAAGACAATCAGAGCGAGAGGGATGATGACGGAAACAAAGGCTACAGCGATTCCAAGAGACCAAGGTCTAGTAGGAGAGAGGTTAGTGCTCTGCTGGGGTGGTATTCAGGCGGAAATCTAGGATGTGGCGCAGGGGCTACAGATGCCCCACCTTGCAGAATACACATCCTCCCATCAATGCCCTGTGCCTCCTGCAAACTATCTCAACACTTGAATTATGTTCCTTAGAAACCTCAGGACACACATACAGATCCTACTGGGGACTACTGGCCTCTGAGGTCTCCTGTTCCCACATCCTCCTTCCCCTGGAGATGAAGAGGCAAAGCCACCTATCAACAGGGGCCTGTATACCAGGCCTCTGATATCACATTCAGAAGCAGAGAAGGTCTTTCTGTAGAGGACAAATGGGGTTTCTGGTCACTCCTTCTTGCTTCTGGTTATCCCCAGCCCCTAAAAGTCCTGAACATCTCTAGATTAAACAGTTCCAAGAATTCCAGACTCTGTGCCAAGAAACTTCTAGGAAAGTAGCACAGCCAAATGCCACAGGAGTTCTGAGTGATTGAAGGGGACAACATTCTCTCCTGGCACTACCACAGAGAGGTTCTCAGATAAAGTGGCTCTGGGGCTGGGCCCTGGAGAGTGGGAATCACTGGCTTCATGCAGTTGTGGGAGCAGAGAGAACCACATGTGCAAATGGTACTAACATTTACCTAGTGCTACTCTGTCCTTGGTGCAGGGCTGAGTGTTTGACTTCTCACAATGACCTTCAGAGGTAGGTTGGTAGGCGCTGTTAATTTACCAAATGAAGAACTGAGTACCCAAAGCTGTTGAATAACTTGCCTAAAGTAATCCAGTAACTGGCAGGGCTGGGATTCAAACTCAGGTACGTCCAACTTCAAAGTCCACCACACTATGTGCACGAAGTGCTGGTGAGACAGCTTGTGTGAGGGAGAGGAATGACACGTTAAAGGTCTGGATTGGTGTCCCACAAGGGGAGGAATGTTCTGAGCAGAGTTATAGGAAGAGTGGCCTAATATGTTGACGAAGGATGATGGACGGTCTCCTGGGAACCCTGTGCCCCTAGAAGCTCTATGGGAGGGAAGTAGCAGTGGGAGTGAGGAAAGCTAAGAGAAACAAGCTAACCAAATGCCAGTGGATGAGCAAGACGCTCACCTCCAGAGTTCAGCAAATAAGGATCTTCTTCCAGTCCCAGTCAGTGCACAAAACTCAAATTAAGTGCCAACAATGTGCCCAGGCAGCCCCCTCTGTTTCTCCTTCTTTTCCTCCAGTGAGGACAACCAGACTGCTGGCAGGCTCCTACAACACAAACACCCTCAAATGCTCTCTCCTTCCCCATCTCCACTTCCATAAGGGAAGTCAACAACTATTCTTACGCATTTGACTTAAAATCTTAAGATGCAGAATTATCATATTTTAAACTCAGTTAAGTTTCCCATTTTAAAAGTATTTTATTTTTCCTTTACTGGTTTAGTTCACAAGTTAAACAATAACTGACTTTTTTTCCTTGTTCTTGAGATCACCTTTAACTTCAACAGGCTTTTAAGGAGAAAATTTTCTCCAGAAGGTGAAACATCTGCCCTTACTGACCCCTTACAGCTACGAAGCTATCAGTACTTCTGTTCAAAGGTATCACTTGGGGGTGAGGTTAGGATAGAACTCACATCCTAGCCACCCGGCCCTTCACTACTACCCAGGTACGGAGACGAGGCAGAGGACGGAATCAGGGACATTTCTAACGCAGTATAACTGATGTTTCTGTGCCTTGGAGAGTCAATCCCACTTGGGGGAAGCGTGTGCTGACAGAAAAGGGGAAGTCAGCTTCTCATCAGGCTTGTGCTAAGAAACCCAACAGGCAGCCCCCTCTCTGAGGAAGGGTTTTTTTTTTTGGCCAAATACACGTGTATAAACTTCCAGACTTGAGGGTTACCTCTGAATCTCCCAAATACTACCGTCAAGAGAAAATGCCCAGCCAGCGGTTCGGATGTGGGAGGAAAACCTCGCTAAACTGGATCAGCAATGCCCTAGGAAGGCCCACCTCTTAGGGCAATGCGAAGACCCAAAGCTCCCAAAGGCCTAGATATACACGTCGGGGACGGTGGGAGAGTTTCTGCGCTCAGCTTCCCTAAGCGTTGCCACGGGATGGCTCTCGGGCTACCTCGGGGTGAAGAGGCTGCTGTGGGCACGTCCCACATCAAGCCTTGAGACTTCCTCGTTCCAAACTACGCGGCGGGCCCAACCCGAGGTGGACCACTGAGGCCTTGTTTGCAACTGGGCTCGCGCAGAGCCGCAGCTGGAGGGAGAGCTCCTTCCGGCGCACCCGCCATCAACACCGCATTCCCAGAGAGTCCCCTGAGGTCTGACCCGCCCCCTCCCCCAACTCATCAGTTCTTTCGAGAACTCCCGCTTCCGGCTTCCCAGCCAGACCTCCATCCCAGCCTTCCAAGGCCCAGCTGCCAACCCCACCGCTCACCCTCGAGCGTCTCGCACTGCACCAGGTTGAGGTAGTCCGCCTGGCTGAGCACCCCTGCCTTTAGGCCGCGTACCAGCCCTTCCAAGTAGCCATTATCCACGTTGAAATAGAGCTCTGGGAAGGACGACATGGCTGCGGAGGGGGCGATGGGACCGTAGAACCCCGACCAGCCCGCACGCAAGGCCACTCCACGATCAGCTGACGCGGCGCCCTCAACGGGCTGTCAAGAGCATCAGGTGACGCGCAAGCCCCTCACGTGACCACAACTGGGCGGGACTCTGAGCAGCGCCCGGCTTCCGGGTGGTTTTGTAAAGCTTTGCGCAGATGTGGACTGGAAATGACTTTTTGGCGCCTGCGCGTTGAGGGAAGCCGGGCCTCCTGCTCCCTGGGGAGAGAACGGCTTGGAATGTCACAGGCCGGTCGCGTGGTGGCGCCCCCGGCCGAGGAATCCGATTAGGTCTTCCAGCTTTCCTGGCTCTGATGCGCATGGCACTCTGGGGGCCGGGGGATGCTTGTTTTGCTAGGAAAGATTCCACACTGGGAATCTGAGTCAGCCTCCCCAAACCCGAGGGGAACAGGTTCAGAGACTGACAAGCCCGCCGGGCTTTATAAAACGTCGATTTAGCTGCATAGCAACCCCTGGGTCAGATACTTCCGTTCTCCAGCCCAAAGTTACAGTCTATATGCCGCGCCCGTCCCCCTTCCCTGCATTTATCGTACGTGATTTTGGAGGGCAGGGGAGCGGCTGTCCTCTGCTTCCCCCAAACGCCTAGCATTCTCAAAGTGTGCCTGTGTGTGACTCAGATGACCGGGTAGCGTAGGCCCTGGTGGAAAGATGTGGGATTTCTCGGCTTGGTAGCACCCTCACCACTGCGGTAACCTCCTCCCCTTCCGAGGGCCACATTCAAAATAATGCAACAGCCTTGTTGATCCCAGCCTTTATTCGCGCCCGGGTGTTCCAGACCCCATCCCGACGCCCGCCAGCTAGGTGCGGCTGCAGAGATGCGTGGCAGTACCCAGCTTGCGGCAGTAGCAGAAGGCGTTGAAGAAGCGGCAGTAGCATGTGGCGCACGGGTCGCAGCAGGGCACCTGGTGTCCCAGGCAGGACTCGTGCAGCCGCACGCAGCGACGTGGGGAGCGCGGCTCTCTTCCCTGCCGGTCTAGCGCCTACAGGGGGTAGGGGAGCAGGAACCTGAGCGCTGGCTTCTGAGGGCAGATCCAGGAATCCCACCTGCCCCAATCCATGGGCAGTGGAGTGTGGGAAAGGTGGTCTGCAGTGTTGCTTGCCCCACGTCTGGGGATGCGGAGTGGGAATGGTGCCTGATGGCCCCTTCCAAGGCCTACCACCTCATCCCTTTTCCTGAGTGGATTACTTCTGCCGAAAGCTCTGATAGCATAGTGCCTAAAGCATTTGACTGCTGAACAGAAGGGTGGCGGTTCAAACCCACCAGCCACTCCTCGGAAGGAAGATGGGCAATCTACTTCCATAGTGATGCTGCCTGGGATACCCAAGGAAGGGTCGCTATGAGTCGGGTCCGACTTGGTGGCACACAACAACAACAACATTACCTCTGCCAAGGCCTCGGCCTCCTGCAGTAGGGCCTCTTCTGCCTCTTCTGCTGCTGTCCTCTTCAGCGTGGGCTGCTGGCCCAGGCCTGGGACACAGGATGTGAGGGCAAAGCTCCCCATGTACAAACACCCACCTCCCAGCACTGGAATTTGGGAAGAGGGAAGGAGGGTTCCTACTAGGTGGGACAGTGTGTGGCTAGAGGGTGTCGAAGACCCACCCAGCCGACCCCTGCCCACACTGACCTGCGAACTCCGCGAGCAGGGCCTGGCCAGCCCTTCTGATGCCTTCCAGGGGGGGCGGGCCCATCTGGGCCCCCTGCATGGTGGGTAGAGCCTGCAGCAGGGCACAGCTCAGCAGCACAGCGGTCAGCATGCCTGGCTCAGCGAGGACAGCCACCCTGCAGCCCCTCTGCATCCTTGCACCCCCTCTAGTTCCCCACCCCACAGAGAGGCCTCCCCAGAGAGCAGGAGTTCCTGCCCAACCTGAGGACTTACCTGTGCTTGCTGGGTCCCGGCCCCACAAGTTCCCAGCCACCCTGTGGCCTCAGTTTATATGGCAGGACCTAATGAAAGGACCACACGTGACTGTTCCCTGAACCTGGGGTGAGGGGCCCTCCTTGGAGGGTGGGGACTGTGTGAGCCTCTCTTCCTGGGCCTTGGACCTTTGGGTGCTCTACAAGAGCGGTGCCCATCCCCAAGGTGGGGGTGAGGTCTCCAAGAGCCAATCAAAATTTGGGAACATGATACGGTTCCAGAGCCCCCAGATTTCTGATGAACAGGGGCCTACAGGGGTGGGCCAGGCTGGGGCCATTAGCAGTAACAAGGCAGGCGGCCCTGAGAGCTTTCATTTAATTTATGGCCCCGGAGATGCTCACTCAGGCCCTACATGGCGTGTTCTGTTTCATTTGTTTCCAGGAACTTGGGTCAAGGGCATTGAAGGGGGAGATAGACTAGTGTCCAGAGATAGGTGGGGGAGGGTGCAGACCTATACCCTGGGCTTTACTCAGCGGGGAAAAGAGGGAAGATGCCTACCTAGCCAAACCCAGGTCCTCCTACATGCATCCCTGGCTCCACTTTCCCTCCCCTTTCTCCTTCCAGGCTTCTCCAAGACCCCCACCTCTGCTCTTGCACCCGAGACCCTTTCCACTTGGGGTTCCTGGAAGCCAGGGGAGCAGAACGGACTGTTCCCTGGGTGGGCGGGCAGCTCACGAGTAAAAAGCTTTCAGGCCGCCTGCCTCATTAGAGCTAATATTTGCTTCCTTCCGCCCTGCATTGTCATGCCTTGGCCAGCCCCAGGCTCGGGAGGCCAGAACCTTCGTAGAGATGATAGGACACACAGGACCCCCATCTGCCCACGCCTTCCGCAGCCTATCTGGGGCGGGGGTGAAGGCTGAATTAGCTATGAAGCCTCAATGTACAAACTGGGCTGGCCCCAGGCAGTGGGAAGTAGATGAGGGCCATTGGGCTGGTTGCCTAGGTTCATTCATATGGGCCATTCTAACCAGGAGGAGGCCAGAGGAGGTCCTCTTGCCAGTGAGTGGACACCAAACGCTGCCATGTGGCAGCCTTTTGCCTGCCTGAGTTCAGCACCGACAACTAGTGTTGGTATTGTGGCTGCATGGAGCTTGGCAGCAGGTAGCCTGAGGCAGGCTTCTCCCACAGTCACAAATGTCTGCTCTGGGCTCAGTCTGGCAATGGGCTCAGCTGTGCTTGGCTCAGGTTAACAGTTCTAGGAGCTACCACTCCCTGGAGGAGGAAGCAAGAGAGTCAGGGAAAGACTCTCTTAGGAGGTGGTACCTGAGCTAAGCCTGTGGGACGATTCAGCAGAGGGCCAGTCCTCTCTCCTCCCCTGAGAATGATACTGGCTGCTTTGGTGACTCTGTCACAAAGCAGCTGTGTCATCAAGGCTTCTCTGGCAGCTGGCAAAGGCTCTTCCTCTAAGAGTGGTGTAGGATGAAAGTATCAGGCATGCAGGTGTGCCCCCTTCCTGGTTGGGCCACTTGGAGCTCAGGAAGGGCAATACATTAAACACACCTGAAGCACCTTCCCCAAATCCTTATATCCTGGCCCCATCCCTGAAAATTATGGCTGAAAAGATAGGGATCAGGAGCATAGACTGCATGTGGATTTTGGAAACATGCCCAGGTAAGGTGGGATGGGGATTCTGAGCACTTGGCTGTGCCTGGGCAGCAAATGCAATATTTTATGACATTAAGCGATAATTTTTGTATTTTTCTAGTAGTGATAATGATACTGACGGTACACTCTTTAAAGATAGCTCTTCATATTTTAGGGTGGGGACTCCTCCCACCCAGGTTTGTTGTTGTTGTTGTTATGTGCCATCGAGTTGGACCCAACTCATAGCCACCCCTCCTTGGGTTTCCAAGGCAGTATCAGTACGGAAGGAGATTGCCCATCCTTCCTTCCGAGGAGTGCCTGGTGGGTTTGAACCTCCAGCTTTCTGGTTAGCAGTCAGATGCCTTAGGCACTACACCACCAGAGCTCCTCCCAGGTACTCAGTGTCTTTGTTCACCTACAGAGCAGTGGCTATCTCCACTTAGATGTGTGCACACATCTACAGGTATATCAGCCCTGTAGCCAGTGACAGACAAGACCTGAGGCACTCACAGGCCCATGTCCCTGGTCTCCGATGGGGGATATGGTCAAGACAACCAACCATCAAAACACAATGAACAGGAAACAGTGGTTCCTCAAAAGGTTAAACATGGAACTACCATACGAACTAGCACTCCCAATCCTAGGAATATACCCAAAAGAATCGAAAGCAGGAACACAATCAGAAGCCTGGACACCCATGTTCATTGCAGCACTTTTCACAATAGCCAAAAGGTGGGAAGAACCAGAATGGCCATCAACAGATGGAAGGATAAACAAAACGTGGTGTATGCGTGCAATGGAACATTTCTCAGCATAAAGAGAAATGAAGTCCTGATACATGTGACAACACAGATGAGCAATATGCTGAGTGCAATAAGTCCTTTGAAAAAGGACAAATGCTATGTGACCTTGCTTGTGTAAAATAAGCAAGTACATAGAAAACAAAGATAATTAGTCATTACCAGAGGTGGGAGGCAAGGGGGAAAAAAGTGTTTAGAGGGCACTGAATTTATGTTAAGACTGGTGTCATGACTCAGAAAAGGCCAGTGGTAAAGTATACAATGGTTGCACAATATGAATGAATGAACATCACTGAATTTTACATATAGAAATTGTCAATTGGCAAATGTTTTGTTGTATATATGTTCACGACACACACACACACACAAAGACCATATGTGCATGTGTGTGTGAGAGAGAGATTAAAAAAAAAAAAAAAACACAATGGGATCATCAGAGAAACATGAATTATTTTATGACATTAAGGGATAATTTTTATATTTTTCTAGTTGTGATAATGATACTGAAGACACACTCTTTAAAAGACACCCTTATCTTTCAGAAAAGCATACTGAAGTATTTACTGATAAAATGACATGAAGGCTAGGATTTGCTTCCAAATAACCTGGGGTGGAGTAGTGTGTGTGTGTGTGTGTTGGGGGTGATAAAGACGAAACAAAATTGTCTATGAGCTGGTAATTGTTGACACTGTGATGAGTACATGGGCTCCATTATCCTGTTGTCACTATTTCTGTATATGTTTGAAAATTGTCATATCAAAAATTAAAAATAAAAATAATTTTTAGAAAATGCAGTGGAATAAGAGCTTCCCAGATGAATGTCCCTGGGATATGGAGGACCAGAAGCACTTCTCCTGGATGAAGGGGGTGCAGGCTAGGGCAGTTTTCCTGGGAGAAGAGACCTCTACTCAGTCATGAAGTTGAGTAGGAGTTGGAGAGATGCCAAGCAAGGACTCATCCTAGGAAAAAGAGACATGTTGCTGTGAAGTGCCCTCAAGTTGGCTCCAACTCATAGTGACTCTGTGTACAACAGAACGAAACACTGCCTGGTCCTACACCAGCCTCACAGTTCTTGCTATACTTGAGCTCACTGTCACAGCCACTGTGTCAATCCATCTAGTTGAGAGTCTTCTCTTTTTATGCTGATTCTCCACTTTACCAAGCATGATATCCTTCTCCAAGGACTGGTCCTTTCTGACAACATAATCAAAGTAGGTGAGAGAAAGTCTGGCCATTCTTGCTTCCAAGGAGTATTCCAGATGCACGTCTTCCAGGACAGATTTGTTTGTTCTTCTGGCAGCCCATGACACTTTCAGTATTCTTCGCCAGCACCACAACTCAAAAGTATCGACTCTTCTTCAGTCTTCTTTACTCATTGTCCAATTTTCACATGCATATGAGGCAATTCAAAATACCATGGCTTGGGTTAGGCACATCTTAGTCTTTAAAATGACATCTCTGCTCTTCAGCATTTAAAGAGGTCTTTTGCAGCAGATTTTCCCAGTGCAATATGACTCTTGATTTCTTGACTGCTCCTTCCATGGGTGTTGACTGTGGATCCAAGTAATATGAAATCTTTGACAACTTCAATCTTTTCTCCACTTACTGTGATGCTGCTTATTGATCCAGTTGTGAGGATTTTTGTTTATGTTGAGGTGTAAGCCATACTGCAGACTATAGTCTTTAATCTTCATCAATAAGTGCTTCTAGTCATCTTCATGTTCAGCAAGCCAGGTTGGGTCGTCTGCATATTGCAGGTTGCTAATAAGTCTTCTTCCAATCCTGATGTCATGTTCTTTCTCATATAGTCCAGCTTCTTGGATTATTTGCTCAGTATACAGATTGAATAAGTATGGTAAAAAGATACAACCCTGACACACACCCTTCCTGATTTTAAACCATGCAGTATACCCTTGTTCTGTTTGAATGACAGCCTCCTGGTCTATGTACAGTTTTCTCACAAGCACAATTAAGTGTTCTGGAATTCCCATTCTTCTCAATGTTATCCACAATTTGCTATCATCCACAGAGTTGAATGCTTCTGTATAGTCAATAAAACACAAGCAAACATCTTTCTGGTATTCTTTGCTTTCAGCAAAGATCCATCTGACATCAGCAATGATATCCACTGTTGCACATCCTCTTCTGAATCCAGCTTGCATTTCTGAAAGTTCCCTATCAATATACTGCTGCAACCATTTTTAAGTTATCTTCAGTAAAACTTTACTTGTGTGTGATATTAATGATATTGTAAATAATTTCCACATTCTGTTGGGTCGCCTTTATTTGGAATGGATACAAATACCACCACTTGTCTGTCAAGTTGTCATACTGTCATGGCTTGCATGTTGCTGTGAGGCTGGAGGCTTTGCCACTGGTATTACAAATACCAGGAGGATCACTCACAGTGGACAGGTTTCAGTTGAGCTTCCAACTAAGACACACCGCGAAGAAG